TGTCTGCCTTTCCCTGCAATTCCCCATGGCACCTACACATTCCCAGACAACTTGTGCACGAGCCACATCAGATTTTCATCTAAATCACCCCAAAAACAAGTTCAAAACACAAGGTCCATCACTCCTGACTTGCAACTAGACCAGAGGCAGCGGCACCAACTCAAGAAGATACAAATGCCTTTGTAAAATGCCTTTGCCAAGAACGTGCCCCATTGCTGACAAGGGCTTTCAAGGGATTTCCAGCCTGGTCCCATGGGAGAAAGAAGTGTTATCATCTTGGGACACAGTCTGGCTTTTAAGGTTTGTATTATCTGTAAGGAAAATAACCCTGTTTGTCCCAGACCTGCTTGTTCTGATAGCTCAGAAATAGGTGTCATTACCAGGTGTCATTACTCTGAAGTCACACCTAGCCAGCAATACAGCTACAGCAGATAGATGAGGAGGATAATTTGATTCCATCTTTGGAAATGTCAGACTTTATGGGTGAATAAAATACATTCCTTTTTTTCTTTTCTTCTTCCTTCATCATCCTGTTTATCAATATTGGGTGAAAACAGACTAAAAATTGCTTATAAATGGGTAGTGTCAAGAGGGAGGCGATCCCTACCCCTAGCATGTGCCCAGTGCTGCCACAGCCACCTCTGCTTAGTGTATAAGAACCATGTAAAGCAATAAAACAGGGCACAGATGAAGAAAGAGTAACCTCTGATATGTCTCAGCTATTGCTGTACAAGTAAGTCCAGCTACTGCAGATGATAATCATGGTCACGCAACATAAGATCATAGAATCATGGAATAGTTCGGGTTGGAAAGGACCTTAAGATCACCCAGTTCCAACCCCCCTGCCATGGACAGGGACACCTCACACTAAACCATGTCATCCAAAGCTCTGTCCAACCTGGCCTTGAGCACTGCCAGGGATGGAGCATTCACAACCTCCCTGGGCAACCCATTCCAGGGCCTCAGCACCCTAACAGGAAAGAATTTCCTCCTTAGATCCAATCTAAACTTCCCCTGTTTCAGTTTTAACCCGTTACCCCATGTCCTGTCACTACAGTCCCTAATGAAGAGTCCCTCTCCAGCAGCCCTATAGCCCCCCTTCAGATACTGGAAGGCTGCTATGAGGTCTCCATGCAGCCTTCTCTTCTCCAGCCTGAACAGCCCCAACTTTCTCAGCCTGTCTTCATACAGGAGGTGCTCCAGTCCTGATCATCCTCATGGCCCAAAAGCCACTGCAAATTCTTGGTTTTAAAGGGAAATCTGAAGAACCTTGTCAGGATGTGCCAAAGGCAAAGCAGAGCCCTGGGGGTGAATAAAGGGAGCTCCATGTCCTGCAGAACTGGGAGCAGATGGGGCTGGTCCAGGGAAAGGCAGGTTGCTCATGGGCTTCAGTTGCTGAGCCCAAACCAGGACAAAACCCTGACTCACAGAAAGCATGCGGCCCCTGGCAGCACAGTACTGGCAAAGGGAGAGATTTCAGGAAGGAGAATAGAATAGCAGTGAATGAACTTTTCAGATAAATTATAGCTAAAGGGGAATGAAACATTATAGTTTCAATTACTGCTGTGCCCAGCCACGCAGGTAGTAATTCAAACAAGAAACAATTGGTGGATTGTCACCCTCAAATCAGACACATACCATTTAATTCCATTTACTGAGGGTTCACTGACTGTATTTTGAATCAAATACAGCCATTAATGTGCAAAGATCTGAAAAATGCATGTGTCCCTTTTACAAATGTGACAGCGAGACACTAATTCCTGTAAAACCCTTTTCCTTCAGGTTGGGCTGTTCCTATTGTCCTTAGTTATGCAGATATCCCTTATTGAAGGTTTTATTATGTCAAGCTAGCTCTTACGAAATGCCTTGTACCTTTTTGTTGAGGGCACATGAAAAGCCTGGCCAAATCCAGGCTCATTTTCCACCATCCAAACTTAGCAAATTGATTTGGATGCAGAAAAAGTTACTTTCCTTAAAACAGTCAAATCCTTACTGTTATTGCCATATCTGGCTATTACAGCACAAATATAAATCATCAGCTATGGGAGCTAAAAGCTTTCAGACAGAATTGCTCTAACAACTGCCCCACGCGATGGGCAGTGGAAGGATGACGTGCACCAGGCTTCTTCATGGGCAATATTGCTGCCTAAGTAAAAACACATGGTATTTATGAAGTGAATATTATTGTGCTGCCCTGTTTTGGTCCAGCAGGAAAGCAATGCACGCCTATGGGCAGGGAGAGTGGGAGGAACTGTGCTTGGGATGAGAAGAGCTGGCACCCTCTCTGGGTGATGCCTCCTCCCCTGCCCAGCAGTCACGGGGTGCGTGTGACCCTGGCTGGATTTTGCATTGTTTGAACCCTGCACTGGCACTACAGAAAGCTAAATCTATGCCTTCCCTCATCCAAGAATCAGTTTCAACAGTGAAAACTCCCTGTTCAATGGGATTTGGTGGGACGGTTTTGGCACAAAGATTTTGGGGATCATCTCGAGTGCTTTTGCTTTCCTTTATAAAGTAATACCTGCACATATCCCATGGGTCTGCACTGTCACACGCTCTCCATGGAGTCATGAAGTGTGCTGCCTACTTAAAACAGAGCTTTCCACAAGCTGCACTTGCCCTTCTGATCTGGTTGAGATTGCACCAAAGGGCAGGTTGCTTAAATACAATTTCACTGGTTATTGAGTGGGTTGTCAGAATGGGATATGAAGTTTCGAAGTCTTTGCATCATTCCAGGTCACACTTCCCTACAGGAGCTCCATGTTGACTCAAGGACACTTCCAGGCAGCAGAATATCAAAGGAGCAGCAATGGACAGGCCAGTTCATCCTACACATTTTAAATGGCTTAAAAAGACCCAGAAGCCTTTTTTGCAGAGAGAGGCTGTGGCAGGGACTGAAACCAGTGCTCAGCATGTGGCTTAGACAGAGTGGTCATTAGTGACTGCTGCCATTGTCACACCAGTGGAGACGGTTAATTCAGCACAGGAGTCATTAAAAACAAGCCTCAGTAGAGAGAGGGGGGTTTGTAAATGCTAGATGACTTGGCAAAAATGAAGGAGACCCACAGCATCCTCCATTGCTCTGCTTGTAAATTCAGAACAAAACCTCCCAGCAATTTGCTGGGGATGGGATTAGGCACAAATTCTTATGTTAAAAACCCTTCAAACCAAACCTGTCCCTTCCTCACCCCACAACCAAGCTAACCTTGGTTATCCACCACGTCCCCCTTTTCCTAGAGGATGTCACTCACCACTTCCAAAGCTTTCACTGTGACATTGCTCCTGGGTTGAGAAGGGGATCCCCTTCATCAGCTCAATAGGGACACTTGGTTCCATCACACTAAGCAGCACTGTTCCCACATATCCAAGGAGGAAAGGCTCAGCCTGCACCCCCTCCTGCTCCAGCCTGAGCCCTGGGGCTTTAACTGCCTCTGAGCTTGCAATTAAAGAGCAGCATTTGCTATGCTGAGTGGGTGTCCCTCTGTTAGAGTTCCTCCTACCAGGTACTTTTAATTTATTTGTATTTCCAGCAGTGATAATTGAGTTATCAATTTCAGGCTCTTTTGGGCCAGAAGCAAGGAGATCAGAGGCCTATTTTATACACCTAATTATAGATTGTTTCCCATAGCTATAAAACCACAGAGAGACAGATCCAGGAAACGTGACGTGAGATGCTCTGGGTCCTCTTCATCTCCACTGACTTCTCCCTCTTGCTCCCTTTCACTCCAGGCTGAACATCCTCCAGACAAAACAGTTGTCAAAAGCAAGGGATACCTATTTCCCCACAGGGCAAAATCCTTCCCCACCCCAGCAGAGAGCTGCTTAAAAATCAAATTCAACTTACACTTAAACGATCTGTTTAAGCCTTTAGCACTTCATAGAGTCAGGCTGAGATTTATTCCGTTTCTGTGCAGTTTGGCTATAATCTGGCTCAAAATGATGACCCGGGGTCCTGCTGAGGAGTGAAAGCTTGAGTTTCTATCCCACTTCTTCTTTTTTTTGGGGGGGGGGTTACATTTTGTATGTCCCTGTTAGCTCCCCACTCCCCACGTCTGGCTGCAGTGCTGCAGAGCCACCCTCTATCTCACATGGGTCCGAGCTGCCTTCAGCATCCACAAACCAGTGCGAGCTGCCTGGAGCACTGCAGTGCAGAGCAAGTGCTGAAGTCCAGCAGATCCTATTTTTGTATTTACAGAAAGAGATGGGAATTGTCTGTGTGTCAGTATTATGTTCCTGTCGGTGGCACGAAGAGGCCATCCAAGACGTATGACCTAGCAAATGCACAGTAATGCACACATCACATTTGCTCTCTGAGTAAATAGATATTGTCTATAGAGTATATTACAGCTGTGCTTTCATGTTTAATTTAATGTAAGTGAACTGCCTTAATTTCCCTAAATTGTAGTAATAAACATAATGCTAACAGTGATATCGCTAATAATTTCTTTCTCGAGTGATTAATCAACAATGAACTATTTTAATTACCTGTTCTGAAATGCCAAACTCTAAATTAATTATGTGTCATTATATAAATTCATGTGTGTGTGTATATATATACACTTACACATTAATTCCAAGGCTAATTAAAATGAATAAATCACTGGATTTGGTGAATCCATAGATCTGAGGGGGGATCTGCTTTACTCCCGCTCTTCTACCCTTTTGCATTTCATCCTCAGTACAAAGAGAATCACATTGCAGTGCTTCGAGCAAGTCATTTGTGCTCCTGAATGAAAAGGAGAAAGTCACAACCTCCTTGGTCCCACACTGGAAACAGAAGTGCTGTTGCGTGGCTGGTGGGCTGGCACGGGGACTGCATCTAGAGATGCTGCAAGGCACAGAGCTGACAGCATTGGGGTATTCAGCAGCGGCAGCATCCCCAGGAGCGCCAAGACAAGGCTGGGCAGAAAGGGGAGACCATGCTCTTTGCATGAAGACTCAAGTCTAGAGCTCATAGCCAAAAGGTCCCCAGCCATCCAGCAGTGGCCCCACCACCAGCAGTGGTCCCAGTGGGTCAGTGCTCCCTGTGACATGTGCAGCAGAGAGGGGCAAGGAACTGCAGGGGATGGAAGCTCTAATTTAGGGATGGGGAATGAGATGGTTCTAATGGGCTGTAGCACCGGCTTGAAGAACAGAATGATTAATGAGAGCAATGGCATGAAGGAACCAGAAACAAAGTAATGAGACCTTTATTTGATACATAATACCACTGGGACCTTCTATAGGGAGAATACCAGGAGTACGGCTAAGTTTCGCCGGTTTGGGAATGTGTCAGGAAGGGGGAAGTTATTGCTGACTTTGCAGTCAAATGCCTGAGCTGTACACAACTGGGGCTGCAGCATTGTTCAAAGTAAGCCTGGGACATGTTAATTTGGTCATATATTTTCATATGGTAGAAAGACTTTTGATATAGTATGCTGTGTGGATCTATGCAATGTTGTGGGTTTAAAATGCAGTGTCCAGAGCCTGATTCAGTCATCTGATGGTTGAATTCCAGCTGGGAGAAGAAGCCTTTATATACATAACAAGAAGTTCCAGCCAAAAATTACTTATGGTTTCAACTGAAGGAGAAGTTGCTGATAGTTTAGGTATGGATGTCAGAAACACAGCAGTTAACAGCGGAGATGAACGAGAGATTGGGAGGTGATAACTTAGATAAATTGGTACCTCATCCATATTAAGGAGACAGCTCATCCTCAGTTGCTGCTGGATGACATGAACAGTGGAGCATATAGGGATACTAAAATACGTTGGTCTTAAAGTTAAATCCCCAAGAACCATCAGAAATAAGTCTCAGAAGCCAAAGTGAGATTTGATGCACCCTGCAAAAATACGCAGCCTGTCAGAGCACACCACTCTCTCCATATAACTTCCACCAATTGTGGGACAATTACAGAGAAAACGATACTGTGATCTGTAAAGCAGTTCCTGGAGTGGTTTTATTCACTAACTCAATGCTATGCATAACCGTTGCCAGCAACATCTCCAGAGGTGTGTGCATAATAGAGAGACATCAAGTCAATGAGTCAAAACATCAGAAAATAAAATTCAGATGAACACCACATTCAAAAATTGCATCATCTGTCATTTAACACTGTCTGAAGACCTGCCTATTGAAATAATACATGGAAACCAAAAGTTACCCCAGGCAGCAATACCGTATTGTGCTGTGTTTAGGATCTACCACAAACTGGGGTATTCTGCAGCTGGAGCTGGCTGCCAAAGAAGGCGAGCTGTGGTTATAAGCCCTACAGGGATCATCAAACTGAAGCCCCCAAGAGACTTGTAAGGGGGGAAACACAGGGCACTGAGAGGGTGTGTTCCCCTCACATACCCACTTTAAAACCTGCCAAAGTCAGTAGTAACCCCGTCAGTGTCACCCATTCCCTTTGCTGAGTAGATACGTGTAATAACTTCTAAGACCCAAATTAGCCTTTAAAAAAGGCGTTGTATCCAGCTGCAAAATTAATTTACCCTCTCTGACACTACACTTCACTGGATTAGAACCTTCATTCCTCCAGCTCCAAAACACCCATCGAGGTAAGAAGTTTCCCTTTTTGAAAATGCAGGCCTGGAAGACCTTTAAATCCCCTAACTAAATTCTTATCATGCCGTTTTCCTCAAGCACCATGTACAGCATCATCTCTGCGCTACAGCTTGAAAGGCACAATTCCCTGCAGATGCACACATCTGAGGCCAGGAATATCTGCTTCCAGGTGCGTTAGCAGGGATATCACAGCATGGGCCATAAGGTAAGTATATATATACACATATAGACACGCATATATAATGCATATGTACATATATATGCATTTTTTAACAAGATATATTGGATGGTGGTCTCACCACGCGTGCAGGCAGGTGCTGGTGGGAAGAGAAAGCACCGCATAATGCATCCAAGTTGCTCCATGGTGTGAGAATGAGCAATGAACATCTCTGCTGGAAGCAGAATCAGGAACTTGGGTAAGCTTTACCACTTCAACAACAAATCACGGGGTGTGCTTGAGGGTTCATTTTTCACAGGGAAACACCGGTGAAACGAGTACTTTGCTGCTTATCTCTGTATTGCTTATCACTGCTTCTTTGCCCTTCATTTCTTGGAAAAGGCATGGTGTTTAAATGGGTTGAAGGGTGGACACTGCAAAAGAACTTAATCCCAAAGGCGTCATAAAGGGTTCATTTTGCTCTCCCAGAAAATCTCTGTCTTCCTAGATCGCTCGCCTCCCTCTCTCTGCTATCCATCTAGGTTGCCTGGTCTGTATCTGCAGGCATGCTTGCCATTCTTTGAAGAGGTAGTCTCCTCCAAAAAATCAATAGTTAACATTGTCCTTAAATAGTCTGACATTTACCTTTACTGGAGTTTTCATTTTTTCCTGGGATTTCTCAGACATTTGTATTACCCATGTATTTCTCTGCCTGTAGCCACCGACCAGGAGCTTTGCATGGATGGCAATCGTGGCGTGGTGTTAGCTCACAGCCACAAATAAGCAAGATAATTGAGAGGACTGGAGCTCACTAATAGAAGCATCTTTAATTTATGGAAGACATCGAGTGAGAATAATTACAAGCAAAAGGGTAGCATAAATCCCTGAAGAAAATATATCCTGAATGCGCTTTTCCCAACAAGCAAATCTGAACACTGGCCCAAAGGTCAAACATAAAAGACTGCGAACTCCAACCTCCTGAGCCATCCACCTTTCCTTTCCCCTCTTGTCAAGAGCTTGTCTGTGGGTTCATTTAGAAAGCTGCTTGTTCAGAGTAGGGCTGTTTGCAATCTGGGGAAGTTAAGCAAATTAGCAGAATTATTAGGTAAGAGGCAATTCTCCACAGCCTGCAAAGCAACCGCTTGTTAAATGAGCTCACACGAGAGAATTGCACTGATCGGATGACGGCTGCAGTGTTTGCAGAGAGAAGGCTGTGCAGGCGTTTTCTTTGCAATAGCACTGCTCTGCTCCAGATGAAAAAGGGGACTTAGCGCAGCTTCCCTGGCAGGCTGGGACAGGCTCCGTGCACTGGCAGATGCCTTTGTCTTTTACACTCTGCTACGTGGCTCCTTCTGCAATAATAACAAAGAAGAAAACCCCAGCACCTTCAAACCAGCTCCTTCTAAAAACAGGGAGGGCTGTAGGAGAGCTGAAGCCATGAAGACCCTGGAAGCATGTGGCTTGCTGCACCCACTCCCTGCTCCAGGGGTTTTACAGCTTCCCTCTCCTGTGGTGATTTTGGGAATGGGTCTTTCAACAGCCTAAACGAGACTGGAGTCCTCCAAGAAGCCACATGGTTTCTGGTCACTCAGTCTCATTTGTATATACTCTTTGGCTATTGATTTGATATTTTTATACCTTATGTAGTGCACTTGGTACAGAAAAAAAAATGGATTAACCAAGTAAATGTGCTTTATTAGCGAGTCTCTGATGGAAAATTATGTCAGTTTTCCATCTAAAAGATGCATCAGATTAATCCATTCATGAATCAATTTGTCTATGCTTGAGAACCTACTAACACCCCACATAAAAATTTCCAGTGTCAAGCTGTATGCTGGATATAACAATCAAAGCTTTAAAATGAAGAAGAGGTATTACTGGGAAGTCTTCAGCCATTCCAACACAGCTGAGAATGAAATGCTCATCCCCAAAGTGTAGTAAGGGTGTTACACCAGGCTTAACTCCAGCTTCACTCACAGGAGATGAAGCAGTCTTAGTAAAGCCATGGAATTGCATCTCTTAACATCAGCGCAAGCAGCAAACCTCTGGGCTTTCCCAGCCTCACCCTGCCTATTCAGAAGTGCAAAAAGCACCCGCAACTGGCAGCAGAAGGGATCTGGAGACCAACAGTGTATAAAACAAGGGCCAAGACACGTGTCAGCTCCTTCCTAACCGCACCACATAGTCTGACAACCTGTTACAAGCACAAGGACCTGGTAGCATTGCTGCAGGTAACGTCAGCTGGATCCTGCTGGCAGATAGATGGGGAGGCTTTGGCAAGCACCATCCTCCCTGCAGCCCTGCACAGAACAAGCCCTGTGGGCATCAAGGGGGGCATTTCCCCAAGGGAAACCTGCAAAGTCAGGCTGGCCATGTTAACCACATAAATCATCTGCAACTGATGGCATGGACCTGCGCCATGATGCAGAAGCTGCGGATCCAGATTCAACTTATTTCCTAGGTGTAAGAGGTACCGGGTCTCCAGTTTGTCTCTGCCCAGCTGCTTGTAGCCCACCTTCCATGCTCAACCCCAGCTCTGTGGTACAACCCCACCTTGCAGCCCTGGGCCTACTTTGAACATCACAGTGTTTATTTTTGGTGTTGTATAATAAAAGACAGCTACCTATACCCAGCTAAGATGCCTGAGTGTGAGTTAATATCACAGGCATGGGATAAATAAGGGCAGATGACCATTAAAACAGGGAGCCTGTCCAATCCAGGCAGAACAATTGCGTAAGAAAATAAATGGGACATTGACAAGCTGTTTTTCTGTTGTAATTCTGTTTGCTGAATACCCCAATGTGAAGGATTTTATTCTTTGGGAGAAAAAAGGATGACTTATCCACACTGCAGGCTGGGGTGTTACTACAGCTCAGCACTGCCGCAGTAACTGAGGTAATGCATGAACCCGCCAAGCTGCTATGACCACGTCAAACACAAAGTAAAGGACGTTTGCTTAAACCTCAGCCAAAGAAGTACACATAGGCACGTTTTATCTCATGGTTGCAAATAGCTCAATGCAGGCAGTCACCCTTGCACAGCTCACCAGGGCTGGGTGTCAAAGGAGCGTAGGAGCCGAGGCAGCCTTCTTCTGTTCTCACTTGCATCTACAGAAGATACCATCATCCAGCCCTTTATTCCTTTGGAAAACATGTGCAGCACATCTCGCTGTTTACATTAATCCAAACTAATGTCCCATGGCTATCGCATCCATGATTATGGCAGTCATTTTTAATTAAGCGTTGTGTCAACAGTATTGACATTTTCATTGCTTTGGGAGGAAGTAGAGGAATTTTCCTGCAGGTGAAGGCCCCTTCTTGGAGTTCTCGATCTCTCCAGCTGCACCCCCTGTATGAAAGGGCTGTTCAGCTTATTAGGGAAAAGCAAGAGTATTAAGCCCACTCTCTGTGCAAGTAAACTACAGTGATTTACACAACACTAAACTAAGGAATGCAGAAATTCGAATTCCCTTTTTCCTATGGCAAGATTTGCAATCTTATTCTGAGTGCAGTGTTTATCATTAACAGAAGCCCTGGCAGGATCTGGGAAACACTGGTGTCCCTGTGATGAAGAGGATGCATTCAATAGCCTGCTGAGAAGTGGAGTTAGACACGAATGGTTCAAGACCGTCATTGCACCCAGTGATAAACAACCTGCAGGAGCTATCATTCACCCTGAAAGAAAGGGGAAGGCAGATCATTACATTTATTGGTCATAGTTTTTCAAGAGTCAATAAAGACCCACTAGAAGGGCATGGTTAGTAGCAGGAATATATATATTTTTCACCTCTCTCAAAGATACCTTTAGCTCAACAGCTACAGAGAGCATCAGTAGAAGGTCTGTCTTCTGCCCAATATGTCAGGATGAATCTTCCTCCTAGATGATGGTCCTGGTGTAGATGGTGCTCACACTGTACAGTTTTTAACGTCTTTAACCATCTTTAGCTTTATATCCTGATAGCCCCTTCAGGCTATATGTCAATGCCATCTGGGAGGAAAAGAAGAGACTTCTGCTCAAGCGCCGCTGTAGTGCTGGTCTCTTAACTAAAATTGTGCTTCCTTCACTTGACAAACTGTCAGCACAGAACAATTACTGCCTGTTGGTTTTGCTTGTCCTTCCTTTTCTCTTCCATCCAAAGACAAAAAAAAAAAAAAAAAAAAGAAAAGAAAAGAAAAACAGATGAAGGAAAAAGATTCACATCATAAAACTCCAAGGACAGAATCCAGCTGATCTGATTGCACCACGCAGAGACGTGCTTGCAGGTGCATCAAAGGTAGAGGTGGGTCCCTTCCTTATCACCTTTCTCTTCCTACACTTGATTGATGAATGCTTTCAGGTCTGTAGGACAGATAATGTGCTTGGGTTTATGCCTTAAGCCCTGTATAAATACGGATATTAGAGTATTAGTGTATTTAGGCTGATGTATTTAGCAGCTCTAGATTATGAATTGCTCCTCACAATAACGTTTGCGTTTGCTGACAAAGGTCTTTATTACAGAAGAGGGTCAAGCAAAAAAGGATTATTCCTACTAATTATTCACTGTTATTTAATATTTGCACAAAAGGTTTGCAGGACTGAGTCCTCAGGATTGCCTTGTTTGAGGAGCTAATAGGGTTTCCAGGAAACCAGCAATGTCTGGTGGGCCATCAGGGCAGCCTCTTAGTGGATATGGAGGACAATTAGATTTGATGTAGTTAAGGGTGGTTGGCTAAAGGCTTATAATGACTTTGCCAGGACCTGATCCTGGGGTTTTCAAAGTCAGTGGAAAAACTTCCACCCAGAGCTATGCTTTATGGGAAGATCTGATTTTCAGGCCATGAGCCTCATGGCCTGTGCCTTAGTTTGTCCTTATGTATTAGCAGTCCTTTCGAAAGCTCCCCTGAAGCCTACCTACTGCCTTCTGCTTGGGCATCATATTTCCTTGACTAGACCATAATTGTACTGTTAAAGAAATTCCTTGCTAAGTGAAATGAATTTCTCATTCCATAAAGATATAATTAAGCAATAAAAATACTGGCAGAAATCTTCAAGCATGGGTGCCTGAAGGTGGGATCCACATTTAAGCATCTAAATATATGGTCCAACTTTGGAGATTCCTGGGTATTCATACCTTCTCTACCTTCAAGAGAACTGGAAGCTTTCCTGCTAGTCAAGGCTCAGGCTTCTTCGGGGGTACCTAAATATGGATCACACTTCTTCAAGGAGAAAACTTTTTCATTTACATTCCATGCTTTTGTTCACGTTGCAACTCCTCCAGCTTCCCCATTTGACATTTTTTAGTAACTTAATTATCCTTACGAAGGAAGAATTTTAATAAAGGTGTTGTTTACACTGGATGCAGCCCTGGGGAACAAGAGAGAATAACCCAGATTGCGGGAGCAGGAGGGAAGAGGGTGGTATTTTGGAAACCCAGGCCACAGCCTGCTGGAAGCATCTGTTTCTGCTCAACCTTTTCCTCTAGAGTCCTGCTATCATTCACAGCCCAGACTGCCAGCAATTAGGGACTTGTGCTGAGGATTCCCTTTCCCTTGCGCTTTCATTCCCATTCTTCTTTATGAACCTTGGGACTGGTGGCAACAGCATTAAGGTGAAGCTTGCTCAGTGACTGCTGCTCACACAGTCATTCCTGTTGCAGCGGATACTTCACTTGATGCTTCCAGGATGGAAATCAGAAGGTGAGTTGTGTAGTGCTCGGAAATCAGCACTGCTAATTGCAAAGCAAATAATGGGCTGAGAAAGACAGTATGTCACGACGTGACTTGGAGCTTCAGAGGTGGTGGCCACTTGGCTATTTTGCTGAGGACAGAGCTGCACTGTGTGGCATCCTTACTACCCATGCTGCAAACTGGCTCCATGCTGACGCAGGGATTTGTTGGAGCTGCTCATTTTCCTCTGTTTGCAGGCACAAATGTCAGCAAATGCATATTGCAAAGGCTTGTGACTCTTATTAGGCCAGGTCAAAGCCTCTTGTAATGCATTGTTGGATGTTTGTTTCATTTGTGAAAAATAAAGAACTTGAAATAATAGTAATTTCCAAGAAAACAGCTGGTTGTATGAAGGAAAACATCCTT